CCCCAAAACCCCAAAACCCCAAAACCCCAAAACCCCAAAACCCCAAAACCCCTTTATTCAAACTCATATAGAATAATATTGTCTTAAAATAACAATGGAGGGCAGCAAGTATGGGTATTATAGAGGAAGAAAAGAACAAGAGGCTAAAGATAAGAAGATAACCCACAAAAGAAATATTATCAGGAATGAAATTAAAGTTAACGATGTTGATCCTATTTGGAGAAAAGCAGCACAAATGGTGGCCAACAAAAAGTAAAAACATGCTAACTGATCAACTCTTGAGAAATTTAGGTTTATGTTTTGGGATTTAGGATATAGAATTATTGGGCTACACTTGTGAATACCAATATAAAATTTCTTTAAAGAGTATTTATTTGTATTTAAATTCTTCATTTTCTTTATTGATTAAAAATGAGCAATTTGCCATAAAGATGTCATTTCATATCATTCAAAAACTTTCTACTTCTAACTTTATTTTCTTTTAGTAATGATATGGTGCATTTGACACCAGATTCACAAGAGATAAGGCTTCGGGATGAAGACTCAGACTCTCATAATTCTAGAAGAGAATCTGGTATCAAGAGGATTAAACCCAAGATCGTTGGTAATGGCGCTTCTAATCAAAAGTATAAATCGATTGAGAGAAAAGTAGTTCCCAACCCTCAGAGGAACATTAGAGACAAAGTTTTTAATGGAGGAGAGGAGTTTATCTCTCCATCAAATCTTGAATCTGGCTTTAGCTCTTGAGATTTTCACTCTATTGATGAGTTTAGCCTTGATAAGAGCAATATTAGCATAAGACAGATGAATTTCGATTCTAATAATCAACGGCCAAAATATGAACCAAGGTTAAATAATAGAAACAATAGAGATCCTACCACTTTTGAATACAATACTAAAAAGGAAGTGAATAGAAAAGACAGAGCGAGAGTTCTAAGAAATAATGAAGCCCAAAGAAGAGTAATCAACATATGTCCAAAAGTAGAAGAGTCAAAGGTTTCTTATGTTTTTAAAGAAGTTTCTAGTTTTGATAAAAGCATCGAAGTCCCCTCTAGTTTTCTTGAGCCTTCTATTGTTTTTGACGAGAAGGATGGAAAATTTGGATCTACTGTAAAAACCAACATCTCTAAATATAATTTTAAGCCAATCTATGCAAGTCCTGCTTCTCGTAAATCCATTATGAAAAGTAGAATGCCAGCCTGAGGTCAAATCCTCCCTAAAACTAATGAATCAGAGTCCTTAGTAGCTTGTTCATTCTCTGATTGAAATCAGAATGAGGCAAGCCATTCAGAGAGTATGGTCAAACAAGAACCAATCAATGCTGTTCAAGAAAATGAGTATTACAATATCCAGCCAGTACACAATAAAGAAGAATCTAAAAAGAAATAAACTGAAAGAGTACCTCACACAAGTTGATCAGAATGCAGATTTTAAGAATATAATTAGCAAACCTAAGAAGCAGACAACTCGCTCAAAGAATGATTCTAGGATCAAAAGCGGTCCTAAAGGTCATGGATCAACCGGAGGAGCTGAGTCCTCTCACACTCCTAGTGAAGAAGAGAACCTTGACCATAAAGAGTTTCAAATTCAAGGCCCTTTAGAAAATGATCTCATGAATCCTGAAATGCTACAATCACGAGAAACCGAAAAGGAAGAAGGAGAGGAAGAAAACTTTTCTGAAGTTCATAAAATGCACATGATTCAAACTCTACAAGGCCTTCTATTTATAAAATCTCTAGAAGAAGTTTCACAGGAAGAAATTGAAGACAAGAAAATATATCTACCTCCTCCTGACTGAGAGAGCAAACAAAAAGTTATTGTTTTTGATTTGGACGAAACTCTTGTTCACTGTTTAGAAGACTTTGATCCTCAGGATGTTGATCACGTGCTATCAATAGAATTCCCTGGTAATGAAGTAATTGACGCAGGCCTGAATGTCAGACCATATGCAATTGAATGCTTGAAAGAAGCTAATAAACATTTCCAAGTTATTGTGTTCACAGCATCTCATTCTTGATATGCTGATGCAGTCCTTGACTTTATCGATCCAAATCGTGAGTTAATACAATATCGAATGTACAGAGATCAATGAGTAGAGACGCCACAAGGGATTTATATAAAAGATTTAAGAATGATTGCTAATAGGGACTTGAAAGATATTCTGTTGGTAGATAATGCTTCTTACTCCTTCGGATACCAACTTGATAATGGAATCCCTATAATTCCTTTTTATAACGACAAAAAGGACAGAGAGCTACTCCACTTAATGCAGTATTTGAAGTGAGTGATCTCTTCTGATGATGTAAGGGAGCAGAACAGAAAAGCATTTCAGTTAGGAGAATTGACTGAGAAAGAAATCTCAGAATATCTCAAACTCTATTCCAATTCAGATGATGAAGACGAGGAAGCTGAAGGAGAAGGTGAATATGAGGAAGAAGAGGATAGCCCTCAAGAGGGGTCTAGATACAACCAAGTGTTCGAAAGTCAAGAATATTTATATGGAAATACGAATAATAATGAAATCATGATCTATAGTGATGATGTATCCAGAGAATCAGGGTCGATGAGATGTAATTATTAAAATTAGCTTTTCTATTATTTTATTTTAACCGGGGTTTTGGGGTTTTGGGGTTTTGGGGTTTTGGGG